TGATAATAATAATAATAATAATAATAATAATAATAATGATAATAATAATAATAATAATATTAATAATAATAATAATAATAATAGCAGCAATAATGACAACAATGATAATGATAATAACAATAATGATAATAATAATAACTTTGGACCTTTCCTGAAGCAATTATTTTTTCTTTTAGGATAATGCTGGAGATGCTTAATCGAATGCATTATAGTACGGATGAAATTGTAATCGATGCCAAAACTGAAGTATTTGCAATCAGAAATCACATTACGCGTGATCAAGGTTTGATAGATTGCTTTGATTTCCTCCTTTATTCATGTTTTACTTTGATTCTCTGAACATCCACTATTTCATCGTTGCGTTTCTTCTCACGGTCCACTGAATCGGCATCACCCAAAAGGCTGTCCTGGATCTGCCTATGTGAGTTATCTTGAACAGTAGCTAATGTATAGCTTGGTTTTTCACTTGGAGCAGCCTGCAGTTTCTGCAGTTGCTTTGACTAGTGTTAGATCACTTGATGGTCATCCCGATGCCGATCCCAGCGGTCAGCTTGCTCCCAGAAAGGATTACCAGCCCAACGATTCTCTTGAGCTATGTTTTTCCTGTAAAATCAAAAGCATTTGGAATTATGGTATTTTTTTTTTTGTCAAAAATTTTGATTTAATTTGATTGATTGAAAATTTAATTTTTACGGCTGCAGATAGGGATGCAATGGTGAAGACCGAAGGCAAAATTCCCATCACCGATTTTCACAGCTACACAATCAATCAGCCGTCTGAGATTGTTGTGAGCATGAAAGAGCTAAAAGGAATGCTGAGTTTTGCGGATTATTTTCAATTATCGGTTAGCATATATTTCGATCAGCCAGGAAAGTTAGTTTGCGTTTGCTTCTGATTATAGCGTTTAGCCTAATCATGATTCGGTATACAATTTGTCTAGCCGTTGAAATTGCGATCACAGTCTCAGTTTTCAACAGTGGCTCAATTTAGTTTTTTACACCGATTCTGTGTCAGAATCGTCAGCAACATGATCATCAAGTGATGCAGCATTGATTAAAATAACTGGAAAAATTGTCAGCTGCGTAGCTAGAGATGGATTAACAGTTTTTGGACAGTTTTTATTTAATTTTTGCGTCGATTTACTTAATATGGTTTGTTCAGCGTTTTGGAAATTCTTTAATTTCCAAATTCATCCGAGAATTGGATTTTTTTTTCAGGCGATTTTGAGATTCCTTTCTTTTTATATTTTTTTGAACATTTTGTGAAACAATGGAAAAGGTTGTAACTAAAAAGAAAATAATTATTAAAAGCAAAAACTGATTTGGAATGCTTCGGTTCATCAAGTCGCATACATTCCCATTCAGTACTACAACTGGACCTCGTCAGTGTGACGATTGCAGTGGAAGAAGTATTAGAAGCATACATTATGGTGTAGTTATAAAAGAGGAGAAAAAAAAGTAAAAATGAAATGTGTTTCGCTGATTTGAGGTTGAGCTCTTGAGCCTCTTTCGTTCAGATTTTATATCCCCCTCAAGTTGTAAACCTTTGGACTCTACTGACCCATCTTAATCGTCCCATCGCTTCCCTCCACTCGGTTTTTAAGGTTCATTTTTCGCCATGATCTACTGTAGCCAGTATTGCGCGATGCTGATGAATCTGGCACTTGTTCCCTTGCTCAGAAGAGGCTCACTGGATGTCGTTTTTTCGGACTTTTAGTTCATCTAAACAATTTTTTAAACGCTTTTCTGTAACAGTTGTCTTCTATAAAAAAATTTTTTTTTTTTTTTGGCCGTACGGAAGCCTCAAAGAACATCAAAATTCAGGTTTAGGAATGTCCTGAAAAGTTACAGTGGGCATTGAAACCCCATCTTTTAGATTGCCATAATGCATATTATAAAGAGGCTGAGAGCCTACCGCATGAACATTTTGTTGGCTGCTTTTTGTAGGCTAAATATGAAGATAAAAATAAGCGTGATTTTAGCATAAATGGCAAAAAAATGCTGGATGAAAGTGCTGTTTTTAGCCCACTGGTGATAGCTCTGGAGGAGAATATCAATTTCACTGGCGAAGTGGTTCTTGCAACTGGTTTTGGCGACATAACACCTTACGATGTGGATTCCGAAATTCCGATTCAAATTGTTCATACATCGGCGCGTCAGCTGCAGCAAGCGAAACAACGAAACTGCAGCCAGACATTATCAGAGCTAAATCCTTCCGGATTAGTAACAATCGACGACTGCTCGTTGCCAGCAAAGAATAAAAAGTCTATCGTCCCAGAAAACCAGCAAGCAGAATGCTCCGGAAGTTTAGCAGCTGCAGCAATAAATTTTGGCCAGCCACATGCTATTTCCTCTCCAATCAAGTATTACTTTTCTCGACAGTTTGAACAGCTGCTGTTTCATTATTGCATTTCCGGCAGTTGTTGCGGCTGACAATTTCTTCATTCTTCGCTATTTTGAGTCTCTCTCATCCACATAATTCCATAAATATCCGCCAGTAGCGAGGTGTTGTAGTTGTAGTTGTTATAGTTGCGGTTGTAGTTGTAGTTGTAGTTGTAGTTGTAGTAGTAGTAGTAGTAGCGACAAAAAAAGCAGCATGTGTTCTCTTCGAAATGGACAATTTTCTTTCTCATACCGTTGCCAGAATTTTGATTTGTCTCTCTGAAGAAGCCAGTAGCTGCACTTCCTTGTCAATAAGCCGAGAATTGTACTACATTTTTCGGAAGAAGCCAATTCTAAATAATTGTAGATGTATGAAGTAGTGTTGTCAGAAGAGAAGTTATGGATCTATCAAATAATTTTTTTGTAAGAAAACAACTATTGTTCTTGTTGTTTCCCCTACCCGCTCTATTTTTGGCATCTCGCCAAAATATCTTTCTGCCTAATTCTTTAAAAGAAAAGGTGGACAAGTGGTTAGATCGTGTTTATTTTGCTTCCTGCAAGCAAATTTGGAAGTGACAGCCCTGTACGATTGGTTGTTCTTATTGGCAAAATTTTTTTCATTTTGGAATCATGGAACGAATGGAATGAGGGAATGAACGAAACGAGAGCTGGGCGGAGGAAGAGGGGGAGGGGGCGGGGCGGTGAGGGAGAACTTTTTTGATTGCCTTCAAAAAAAAAAACGCAATTTTTCAGAATTTTGCAAAACTCAAATGTACTAGGAACGGATGAACTAATGGAAGATGAGAGGCTTTTGCTTGCTGAAGATGATATGCGAAAAATTTTAAAAATTAATGGTGATAATGAAGATGGAGCAGGTCCGGAGAAACAGCCATCTCATGGCCCAGCCGTAAGTTCTCCTCGTTTTTTGCGGAAAATTTCGGTTAATTTATTGATTTTATACCGTATTTTTTAAGGTTTTTTAGGTTTTTTTAACTCTAAATGATCATTTATCCTTTATTTATCGTTTTCACATTCTTTCATCAATCACTGAAGCGCAACTCATAATTTTTTGGTTTTCCAGCTCTTTCGGTACTTGTTCGCATTTGACGAGTCGACATTCGATGAGGAAGATTTCCTCCTGGATGCAGCAGCGTTGGCCCCAGATTCTGATCCTGACAGTTACCCCAGCGATTGAGGTACCTGCGGAAAACACAGAGTTTTACTCCCAATTGCTATAGATTGAAAAATATGCGGAATTTACTAATTGTACAAATACGGGTTTCTTATACGATTGCGCCAATTATCGATCTCTTTAAGTTGTTATCATGATAAGACTGTTTAACAGGTATTGCTTCTGACTGTTTTACTTTCACAATGATCTCATCTGTGTTTAAATATGTATTGATTAAGATGTGGAGTATTGTAGTTATTAAGATTTGGAATATGATAATGGATTACTGTAGCATAAGGAGGAAAAAATTGAGGGAAAGTGAAGTAATTTCTATAAATCAAATACTTTTAGGCTGAGA